AGTGAGTAGAAGTCACCCACCTGACCAAGCCCAGGGTCCAGCAGGGACTTGATTTTCTCCAAACTCATGTCCCAGTGAAGACTGCAAGGAAAAGGAAAAGAAATGCAGCCTTCTGTCATTAGAAAGAGAGAAAAAGACCCGAGAGGCTTAGGTGGGGCGTTGAGAACCAGCAGCAGGAGGAACTGGTCTTTGCATCTGGTAGTGGGAAAGGGCTTTTGAAAATTAAATTATTCCCTGAAAAGTGGCCGCAATGACAAGAGTAAGTTAGAAGATAATAATGAAGAAACCCGCATGACTGGGCTTGAGCTTGTGCATAGACGTTTTATTTCTTTTAAATTTTGCTCTTTCATTTTGGAATCATGTTAGACTTACAGAGAAGTTAAAGAGAATGCAGAGAGAGAGTTGCCATGTTCCCTTCACCCAGATTGCCCGAATGTGGCCAGCTTACATAACTGGGGCACCTTCATCAAGACTGAGATTCTCGAGGCCGGCCGAGTGGCTCAGTTGGTTAAGAGTCCGAGCTCTGAGCAACAGGGTCACCGTTCAATTCCCACATGGGCCTGTGAGCTGTGCCCAAGCTGAGCTGCCGCTGAGCTGCCAACAGGTGGCAGGATGGCTCAGCTGGTGAGACCACGTGCTCCTAACAACAAGGTTGCTGGTTTGACTCCCGCATGGGATGGAGGGCTACACCCACCCGCAACTAAAATTGAACATGTCACCTTGAGCTGAGCGGCCCCAAGCTGCCTACGGGCAGCTGGATGGTGACTGGACTTGGAGCTGAGCTTGCTGCACCCTCCACAACTAAGATTGAAGGACAACAACTTGGCTGTTCCCTTTCCCCAATTCCCTTATAAAATCTTAAAAAAAAGAAAAAGAAAAGAAAAGAAAAGAAAAAAGACTGAGATTCTCATTGGCACATCCCTATGAATTAGCACCAGACTGAATTGTATTCACTGGTTTTCCACTCATGTCCTTTGGAGGGTCCCCTTGAGGCAATCACCTTGCATTGAAAGTTCTGGTGAGCTCAACCTGTCTCCTTCTGGTCTGTGACAGATTCTCAATCTTTCTTGGTTTTCATGACCTTGACAGTTTTGAGGAGTCAAAGTTTTTTAATTGTTTATCTTTTGTAATTTAACTAGTTTATTTTTATTAAAAAAGGTTTTTTTTTGTTGTTTCCTTTTTTAAATAAATGATGGCCAGTGAATACCTGGCGAGTGGCTGCGTCCATCACTGTTACCTGCTGGGAAGGTCCCCATCAGGCTGATGTTGTCCCAAGGTAAATACGGTGGGACATGCCTGGGAGAAGACTGCTGGCTTTTAGGGAGAATGTCTAGCAAATGACTTTATTGTATCAAGGTTAGGGGTTACAGGGTGGAGTTGGAAGGGGGCTATTTCTCCCCAGTTCAGTTTTAGTGACTTGACCAACAAAGGAGTGTCAATTTCTTTATACCCTGGGCAGGTAGGCTGGAAAGAAAGGGTTCTCTTTGCTCCCAGGGTGAGCAGGGCACATGGAGGTTCCCCGTAAAAAACAAAAACAAATCCAAACCCAAAACAGCTTTATTAACATTTAATTCACATACTGTTGAAAATGTACAATGTAATGTTTTCAAATATATTCATAGGGTTGTGGGACCATCACCACAATCTTATTTTAGAACATTTCCATCCCTCTCCCCGCAAAGAAACCCCAGGGTATGCGTGTCAGTCACTTCTGATTCTTCCCCCACCTCTAGCCCCTGGCAACCACTCACCCACATCTGTCTCTATGGATTTGCCTCTTCTGAACATTTTATATCAATGGAATCATACACTTAGTGGTCTTTTGTGTCTGGCTTCTTCCACTAAGCATGAAGTTTTTGAGGTTCATTTCTGTTGCAGCATATATCAGTAATTCATCTTTTAACTATTTCTCTGATAAATATTTCATTGTTTGGATATACTATGTTTTTTAATGACTGACTCCATGAAAAGGGGAAGAGAAAGTTGGCAGAGCTGTCACATTGATGATGGTGTGGCTGGGGCGAAATAGGAGAAAAGGCAGGGCTACTTCTTTGGCAAGACTGGATTTCCATGGAGTGGAAACTTCTAGAAACCACAAATGATTGTTTCTACAAATCATGAGCCTTGTGTCTGTCTGGCCCCACCTGGTTCCCAGCCCCGCAGCCTCCTCTGCGCGCCTGGGACACCTGGATTCCCATCTGTTGGTGCAGAATCGCTCTATTTTAAGGGCCTGTTTTTAATCTTTGGGATGGAGAATGGATTTAAGAAGCATTACCTCACTGTTTTTCAAATAAGTGTTTTCATGTTCTGGAAGACAGCAATAGATGCTCTGTTACTGTGGAAAACAAAAAACGGAATTCTGTGATCCAATACATTTGGGAAATGCCTTATGTTTCCAGTGGAGATTTAAAATGAATCTGTACACCTGAAATCTATGTAACTTTACTAACAATTGTCACCCCAATAAACTTTATTCGTAATAAAAAAAAATCGAGTATATGAATGCCTCTACAAAAACATCAATAAAGTATCTGGTCAACTTTGTTGAGCCCATGGCCTCCCAAGATTACCTCTCATCATCTCCAGGGTCAGTGGTGGTCCACAGAAAAGTGTGGAAGATGGTTGTTTCGGGTAATGCACTAGGACTGTGCCCCCCTCTCACTGGCCCAGCCTGAGCATGTGCTGCAGCTGTGATTACAGGGCATCTGCCCTGATTCCTGGGGCTCAGGCCATGGCTCAGGGCACAGCCCTGGGGAATACCCATGTTTTATTCTCCATGTCGTTCTGGGACCCTCCAACTCACCCTGAAAACTCAGCCCAGGGATGGGGCTTTGTCAGCTCCTATCAGCTCTCCCCAGTGTTCTCTGCATCTTTACCCACCTTATCGGGAAGGTCCCTTCACAGATTGTTTATCATCCCTTGGACACTTCAGTTTCTTTCGTGCTTAGTGTCCTGACAATACATTCTTCTGCCTGGATGACCTACAAATGGCATAACTCCCACCTGCTGCGGTTTCCACCCACTCCTCACCAGGTCCTGGCTCCACGCACCGAGGCTCCCTTGTCCCACAATAGTTTATTAATCCCAAGGTACCATGTTTGAGATATGGGTGTGCCCCTCCGGAGTGTCTTGCACGAGGCAGATGCCTGAGATTTGTTGCTGACATTGTATCAGGGTGACATCCATGTGCTCATCCTTCCCAGGGTTCATTTCTGTGCTGTGTTGCTGCTGAAGGGCCATGTGCTTCACGAGTCAGGCAGGCTCAGGTTTTAAACTTGACCCTGACACTTGATAGTGATGTGACCTTGGGCCAGATATAAATTTCTCTGAGTTTCAGAGTTCTCATCTGTAGAATGGGGATTAATAAACCTACGTCACACAGTTGTTGTAAGGATTGGTGTAGACACCATCATTGTTAATAAGAATGAGTAGTTCTCAAATATCATTTTGAGAGACACTGGAGTAAATAACAAATATGAAATTTCCTAGTGAAGCACTTTTGTATGAGTTAACATTTGAAAATTACTTAGAACAAAGCCTGGTTTATAAGGTGTGTAAGTTAAAATAATAAGGAAATTTCTTTCTTCTTCTTTTTATATAATAAGAATCCCATCTCTGTGTGCTTACATCAGTGTCCAGTGTTTTTTTCAGGTTCCTCATCCTACACCTGGAGTCCAGACATTCCTTCCAGGCAGAAACCAAGATAATTGTAGTATTCATTTTGTTTTCATTTTGTGCTACCTTTTCTCCAGTGTCTGAAAACAGCTCTTTCATATATTTTCAATGTTCATTGTTCTAGTTATTTTTGGCTTGAGGTTAAATTCAATCCTACCAGGTCTGACAACTAAGTTCGCGAACTTGTTACAATGATGTTGCTAACTTTTTTTTTATATATCAGAGGGATTATTCGTTATGAATTTGTACTAACTGGACAAATAGTTAACCAAGTTTATTATTTGGAAGTGCTGAAAAGACTGTGTGGAAAAGTTAGACACCCTGAATTTTTCACCAACAATTCATGGCCCTTGCATCACAACAATGCACCAGCTCACACAGCACTGTCTGTGAGGGAGTTTTTAGCCAGTAAACAATAACTGTATTGGGACACCCTCCCTACTCACCTGATCTGGCCTGCAATGACTTCTTTCTTTACCCGAAGATCAAGGAAATATTGAAAGGAAGACATTTTGATGACATTCAGGACATCAAGGGCAATACAATGACAGCTCTGATGGCCATTCCAGAAAGTTTCAAAATTGCTTTAAAAGGTGGACTAGGCACTGGCATCAGTGCATAGCTTCCCAAGGGGAGTACTTCAAAGGTGACCATAGTGATATTCAGCAATGAGGTATGTAGCACTTTTTCTAGGATGAGTTTGTGAATTTAATTGTTAGACCTTCATATGACCCATTGACTCAGAGAGGAAATTGGAAAATCACTTGTATGGGGCTGCTAGTCACACTGGGATTTGGGGGCAATGCCCTGCTTTGGTTGGGTTCCACCATGATAACATTGAACCACCGAAGATAACCAGAACTGCAAACAGCATGGAAGAGCTGGGAACTGTGCCAGCTGAGAGGTGAAATTTAATTGTACTTTTAAAGAAATCCTCTTGTTCAAAGGAAAGAAAAACTAAGTAGATTATCAAGCATACTTCTGACCCTCAAACCACGTAGCAATGCCCCGCACCCACACACGTTTCAAGTGCTGCCTTGAAGACCCGTGCCCTTCTCACTAAAATATCCCTCTCTCCCTCTCTCCCTCCTTTATCTGTTCAACTTCAGCCCCATTATCACAACCTTTCCCTCTTAACCTGCCTCCTGTCCCCCATTTCCTGTTCCCCAGATCCACAGGACGCCAGGGAGAGATAACCCCCAACACCGAAGGACAAGTGTGCATTGACCATGTCAGTGTTTTCCTGGACATGGACTTTCCGGTGGCCTCTAAAGAGTAAAGTCAGAAACTGGTCAGCAGATTTTTTTCCCCCGTCTCTCTCCTAGGGGAGCCGCAGCTGGGAGGCAGACATGTTTGGTCGAGTCGATAGAACTTTTGGGATGGATCATTTCCTATTGGAAAGAGAATGACAGTAGTGAGTCGCTGAATGAATAGCTTCTGCCCTGTCTTCAGAGGACTGCTGGGCCACACAGTCAGCCTTCTACAACAGAGCTGTCTTTGCAGGTGAGGGGCTGGGATCCAACTGCTGAGCTCAGGAAATGGTTCCCAGACCTTGAACCATGAAGTCAGTTTGCAAATCTTCCATTGCGTGCTGTTTAGATGTCTCCACAACTTTGGTGTTTACTTACTTTTTTCTCTTTTGTATAGTTTGCATATCTGTAGGTGCTGTAGAGTATGCATATCTGATTTGTATCTGTATCTGCATATCTAATTTGTAGGTGCTTTGGCATCTAGCCAGGAAAATTGCTCCCATGCGATATATCCACGTGTTCTTGGTTTTATGGCTAAGAAGCTTCGGTGCATCGATGTGGAAAAACACTGATTCAAGGAAGAAAAGAGCATGTGTGTATCTTGGAGTTGGTGGTACAGGATGGTTTTGGGAAAAATTATCTTGATCTGCAACTAATGAGTTTTAAGACTGACCAAACTTTTCAGTGTGCGATTGGTTGACTTGTTTGTTGAGTCGGGGGAGTGAATCTTAACGTCACTCACAACACTGAAATCTTACTGTGGATTGAAACATCCAACCCTTTTCCCTCTGAACCAGTTTTACATTTTTGACTTGGAGCTCTGAGCTGATAAAAATAGATGATGGGAATAAAATGGTTTCACATTCTTCCTGTTTCTCAATCGGTCTGGGTTTTTCTTTTGGGGAATTAATGAAAACCACCAGAATTGATTGGATCTGGTCCAGCACCAGAAAACTACCTGCTCAGCCAGGCAGAGTAGAGAAGCCTGGAGCTAAAGGGCCTGGGAATGGTGTATCAGTTAGAGAGTCTAAGGAGGGGGGATTAACACTCAAACAGCACAGCACGATTATCTGAATGAGGATAAAGGAAAGGAGAGCAGTGCCAGGCTGGGAAATTACCATCTTGAATAATAGAATCCTGGAATTCTGCCCATAGGAAACAACTGCGGGTAATTCAGAGCCCACTTCGTGTTACAGAAATGACTCTGGGCAGTCGAAAGTCTTTTGCATAGTGGGCTTAGGAAAATGAATTGAAAGGAATAGCACGGATTTTTTTTCTTCCAGAGTAAATCCAAGCATTTCCAGAAATGCCCCAAGGCAGTGTTTCTTCAACTTTATGGAGTTATGGAATCCTCAGAGACTGATAAAAACTGTGACCTGCCTTCTCAGAAAAATGCACCTACACATAGACCCAACCTATTTTTTTAAAGACTTAATTTTTGTAGAGCCGTTTTGGGTTTGCAGTAAAATTGAGAGGAAAATACAGAGATTTCCCATCTACTCTCTGCCCCCACACGCACAGCCTCCCCCATCACCCACATCCCCATCAGCGGTGCATTTGTTATAGTAGATGAACCTACATGGACACGTCATTATCACCCAAAGCCCATAGTTGCCTTCAGGGTTCACTGTTGGTGTTGTATATTCTATGAGTTTTGACAAATACATGATGACATGTACCCACCATTGTAGTATCGTACAGAGTATTTCCAGTGCCCTAAAATCCTCCACGTTCCCCCTCTTCCTCCTTCTTTACCCCCTATTACCCCTGGTAACCACTGATGATGTTACCATCTCCATAGTTTTGTCTTTTCTAGAATGTCATGTAGTTGGAATCATACAGCCCATAGGCATTTCAGTTTGGCTTCTTGCACTTCGTAAAAGGCATTTAAGGTTCTTCTATGTCCTTTCCATGGCTTCATAGCTCATTGTGTTCCAGCACTGAATAATATCTCACTGTCTGGATGGGCCACAGTTTACCCATTCACCCACTGAAGGACCTCTTGGTTGCTTCCAAGTTTTGACAACTAAGGAAAAAAATGCTTTAAACATTGACATGCATGTTTCTGTGTAGACATAAGTTTTCAACTCCTTTGGGTAGATACCAATGAGGGCAATTGCTGGATCTTATGATAAAAGTACGTGTAGTTTTGTAAGAAACTGCCAAATCATCTTTCAAAGTGGCTGCACTATTTTGGCCCACCATCACTGGCTAAGAGTTCTTGGTGTTCCTACTTGTGCATTATTTATGGCATTGCAATTAAAAACTTCTGCTCTGCTAAAGACAATGTCAAGAGAATGAGAAGACAAGGCATAGACTCGGAGAAAATATTTGTAAAAGACACATCTGATAAATAATGGTTATCCAAAATACACAAAGAACTCTTAAAACTCAACAATAAGAAAACAAGCAACCCAATTAAAAATGGACCAAAGACCTTAACAGACACCTCACTAAAAAAGATATACAGGCAGCAAATAAACATTTGAAAAGCTGCTCCACATTATATGTCATCAGGAAAATTTTGAATTTTTCACAGAGCAAAAGTTTTAGTTTCAATGAAATCCAGCTTATCAGTTATTTCTTTCATGATTGTGCCTTCGGTGTTGTGTCTAAAAGTCATCACCATAACCAAGGTCATTTAGATTTTCTCCTATTTTATCTCCTAGGAGTTTTATAGATTGTATTTTGCATTGAAGTCCATTATCCATTTTGAGTTAACTTTTGTGAGGGTGTAAATTCTGTGCCTAGATTGGTGTTTGTTTGTTTTTTTTGCATATGGGTGTCTAATTTTTCGAGCACTATTTGTTGAAAAGATTATCTTTGCTCCATTGTATTGCCTTGGTCCTTTGTCAAAGATGAGTAGACTATATGTGTGCGGGTCTATTTCTAATCTGTCTATTCTGTTCTATCGATCTATTTGTCTATTCTTTCACCAATACTACACTGTCTTGATTACTGTAGCTTTATAGTAAGCCTTGAAGTTGGCTAGTGTCAGTTCTCTTTGTTCTTCTCCAGTAATTATATACAATTTCTGGAGTTTGAGAAATACCTTCAAGTCCATCCATGGGTCCTAGGTATCCACAAAATTGAGGTTAGTAATCCTTCAGATTAGAAGTATTATAGCAAACTTCAGTAGTGATAAATAATTTTAAAGCAACAGTAGTGAAGAAAGGCTTCATGTGAGAATGCCTTGGAATTCCATGCCAGCAATGCCATGGAAGTGTGGGAAAGGTTATAGGGGGACAGAGAGAAGCAAAATCGCTAAGATGGAAATCAACAGAGAACAGGTAAAGAAGCTTGGATTTCGGAATAGGGTAGATCAGGACTGAAATTCCAGTTCTACTACAGTCTAGCCATGTGAACTTGGACGAGGGTGGCTCAGCATGATGCTCGACAGTAAGGTGATCAGTGATAATTGTCGTCTTTCTTTCTCTATGGCATATGGAACAGGCAGTTGTTGGAGAAACAGCAGGGACTGTGGAGAGGTATAACAATATATACCCCCAAAATGATGAATATAAGTAAAATGTTACATAGAGAACACACAATCATTTATAGCCATTATCATGACAAAGGAGGCCAACATAATTTCAGTGGAAGGCATATCTTGAGAGGAAGTGGTGGGTCTATGAAAGACCTAATTAATACTAAATTGTAAATTAATACCAAGTTGAGAGCTATTAGTTTTATTTTGTTCCCTTTCTCTAAAATTTCAATCTTATGATTGTTGCCCCCCCCCAAAAAATCTATTCACCTCACTCTTCATGTAGTACTTCTTTCATCATTTTTCTTTCTCATTTACTTACTTTCTTAAAGTCCCAACTTCTACAAAAATAATCTTTCCTGTTTTTGTTTTTTTCTCCTAAAACAACTCCATAGGGAAGGTAGGTTGGTCCACCATCCTTTTTTTGTTCTTGGGAACCAACCAACTGGAACCATGGAGAACAAGTTTCTCCATGTCATTATCATACTATTCTCCAATTCTGTGATGGGTGAGGAGGCTGTTTCAGAAAACTAACATATTGATGCAGACATAGAGTTCTGAGACCCAAGGCCAGGGCAGCTGTGGTGGGAGAGAGGGGACTGAGTTGGAAGCAAATTGTGTAAAATAATTTGTGATTAATGGATATGGGAAATAAGGGGTGAAAGTAATATAAGGTGACTTCAGTTGGTTCATTCATCTGGCACACACCTTGAACCCCTACCCGCTGTGAGATGCTGTACAGATAAAGACAGGATAATACTTTTTCTTATGTGGTGTGAAAAGCAAAGTCTCATGGGAGTTCAAAGGAAAAAATATGTTTCATCCAATTATGGAAAGTGCCTTGGAAAAGTAGTCCTTGAATCAGATCTTGAATGATAAATAGGATATGAACATCTAACACCAGTGATGGGCCAGGTGGGGGTAGGGAGGTAAGAGGAGTTAATCCAGGAATAAGGGAAGATATATTGGGGAGAGGCCTTTGCATCAATATGTCCGTATTGCTGGGCAAGAGACAAGACCAGCAGGATCCTTGGGTTTCGTAAGACTTCTTGGGAGGATAGCATCGTACATCAAGGGGTGTGGGCAGACTTCCAGCAAGTGAGGACCCTTCCGCCTTGTGAGGGCTTCCCCAGCCTGTAGATCTATATGGTGGGTGTTGTCAACCCTCGTCGTGGGCACCTCCTTTGAGGGACAGGGGACTGCTGAAGTCCGGCTTCGAGAAGGGCTGGGCAATCCCAGAGACAGAAGCGTCATCAGCCCCTTTCCTCTCCACTCTCGAGTCTGAGGCTGACATGTGTTTTGCATTCATTTTCCTCAGCAATGCCTCCATTCCCTCCTCATCTCCAAAGCCTCACCAACTTTCCCTCTTTCGTCTTGGTCACGGCCCTGGTGTGGGTTCTGAGGTGCTCATCTGGAATCTCTGATGGAGTCTGTGAAGCGTCATTCTCCCAGCGTTAGAGAAGGGGATGGGATGGTTCATGTGTGAGCCTGCTCAGCTGCCCTTATTTACTCCTGGGAACTGGATTCGGTTCAAGGTCTGGAGCACTGGCTGTGACTGGATGCTGACTGATGGATTACTTTCTACTGCAAAATCAAGTCTCTTCCTGACATACAGGAAATTGTATATAGGTCATAAGAAAGGCAAGGCTAAAAAGATCAGCAGTCTTTAAACTGCAGGCGTTGAAGCCAAGGAGGAAGCTGGTGGAGTTCTAGTTAGACCTTCTGGCAGAATGGCACACATGCTGGGGAAAATTCTGTCAGATGGTGCCACGCACACTGTGGGTGGATTGCAAACTCTTTTGGAATGACAGGATAGCAGTGGGATGTGACTTGCTTTTTTTTCCTTTTCTTTTTCACACAAGTTTTACAGGTGCAGGAGTTGATCTTTCACATCTAGGAACTTTCAAAGGTTCTGTACCAATATCGAGTGAGAATGTTTTACTTCTTTATTTTCGGACTTCTCCCCTCTCCCCCATTTTCAGTATGTATTTTCTCTTTTAGCCAAGGAAACATAACTCTTGTTAATGTCTCATACAAGTTTTGAGATAATAGTGAGAAAAAAGTAAACAACTTCATGTCTCCTTTTGTGTAAAATGTCACGTTAGATTTTCATATCCAGCTACCTTAATTTTAATATTTTCTTTTTCATACATCACCAAATTCTCTTAAGGAGAAAAGTTCTTAAATATCTTTGTTTCCCTGAGAGTGCTCATCAGAGTGGGTTTTCAATAGGTGGTTGATTTCCTAAATAATAAATCTCCTTTAGTGACATATAATCTGAA